AGATCACATAGTTCCAACTCCCCTGCCAAGTTTTTGCAATGTTTCTGTTGCTTAAAGAAATAGTAAGTAGCTGGTAAAGTGCTCTTTCCCCTGGGGACCAACTACTTCAGGGAATATATCTACTAAAACTGGCCAAAGTATCTCAAATAATAACTACTGTGATCAAAATGTTAGTGTAAGCCCAAATACCGGAGAGTGAAAATGAGGCCAACAACTGCATACAGGAAAAAGAAGAATGTGCTTCTGCCCAGGGAGTATTAGTGGCTCCACTGACTGTGACTCCAAGCTGCTGCTTGGGAGGGCTTATTTCCTTGATAAAATATTGCTGCCAGTGACCACCAAAAGGCTTTTGATTATTACCCTTTTTTGGTTCTGGTTTGTACCTGAACCTCAGATTAAACAGCAGCAGCACTGCCTGATATTCTCTCTTGATTGGAAATCATCACTTTTAATAACCTACTGCTGTCCCAGCCTTATTTATTGTGAGGGATGCACACAAGGCTTGCTGTGCAGGTTCAGAAGCTGAACTCTGCCAACACAATATCAACCCCTATTAACGAACAGCAATGCCTCTCACAATTAAATGCAGGCGAAGTTGACAAGTGAAGACAGCTAGTGTTGGCTTAGATAGACAAGGTGCAACTTTGTATCAGTATGAGTGTATTATTAAAGCCCTGGAGAGACAAAAATTGAATTTTAGCTTTACTTAAAAAAGAAAAAAACACCTAAACAAAAAAACCAACCAACCAAACAAAAAAAACCACAACCAAACCAATCAACCAACCAACCAAACAAAACCCAAACAAACAAAACCCTAAACAAACACCAAGAAACCAAAGCCTCTTGCAAAATGATTTTGTTTAGGGATGCAAAACTGACCACAAGTTACCTTGAGAGAAAGAGAGGTACAGAGCCTCTTCATGCATCCATGAGGGACCAGACTTAGTAAAACTGCTTCATTCACTGAGCTACAAGTAGTATCTCATTCTTTTCTATTATGTAAAACAAGAGTAACAGTAATAGATTTGAAGTTTTAAATCCATCTCAGCCTCAGGTAAGCCTGAATCTACAGTTTCTCTTGCCAGAGAGTGTCCCGAAGTTCTGAAGGTGAAAAATGAAAGGAAGTCAGTCAAGAACACCTTCTCCTGAAGCAACACCATTATCTTGTTGGAAGAGCAGTGGTGGGATGAGAAGGGCCTGTCCAGGGAGCCCTGGCCTGTTCAGGCATTGTTTATTTGGCAGATTCTGACATAGGAAGAATCCCCACAACTAGGAGCAGGATTTATTATCTTCCAGTGTCAAAAAGTGTTGTCATTGGTGACAAATACATCTGTCTTCTGCTTTGCTAACATGATAGTGCAGCTGAATGGATGTGTCAGATTCTTCATGGTGCATCTTCTGCAGAAGTGTTTACTGGATCCATCAGCTGCATTTGTCTGACAGCAGCTGCTGTGCAGATATGGGATATAACCAGTATCCTAATTTGGTCCTGGCTTTCATTAGTGCAGCTGGATGGGGAGGAGAGGCCTGGTTTAATTCTCTGTGCCAGGTTAAGTTGGCAGGTAGGAGGACACATCTTACTTGCAGGCTGAGCAAAAGCTGAGTCTGGAAATCTCTAAAGCATGATGCATGAATTCCAAGAACTGTTTTTACAGATACTTTTCAAATTAAAACTGCATGACTTTCCCATTCATAAAAAGAAGAATTTTCACTCTTTAGTAACGTGGAACTTGTCCTATTATCACATTTTCAGCAGCGGATGATATATGAGATTATATAGTTTAATACAATAATGTTTCCTGTCATAACTGTTTTTAGAAAAATAAAATTATCTCTGCCAAACAGAAAGATGATATAACTACAGTGAAGGCTATATTTATCACTGTAAGTCCTTCATGTATTCAAGTATAGAGGCCAGGGTCAAATAAAGTGTGGAGGATTGTGTACAAAAGGGATTTGTGAACTAGGATTATTTATATAGCACCCAAAATTCAATAACCATTCTATAAGAACAGAGCAAAGCGTGAATCTTTTCCTAGATGTATTAAAATCCAAAGTGTGAGTTGTGGAGGCACTTTGTACTGTGAGATCTCATGAGACCTGATCCTCTGTTTACATAAGCCACCAAATCCTCAGTTCTGGTAAGCTGAGGATCATACTCTAAAGATTTAGTCATGAGAACAGATATTCCAGGGTAAAGGGCTCTCAACCAAACAGCCTTTGGACTTTTAGACTCCATAGCTCTGTATCTGGACCCTCATCATTTCTTGACAGTGCACTTTTCTGTTTGTAGTGGGTGCATCTGTGTTGATATCAAAGAGCCTCATGAAAGAAATGCTTTTGGGGAGCCCAGTGCGGTTCTTGCTCGTGCTGACAGAAGGGTCAGGCAAATGTAAGAGAAAAAAAGAGGCACAAACACAAAATCAGCTTCAAGAGGCGTTTTTTTGAGGTTTGTTGTTTCTTTTTCATGTCTGTGGAAGAACGAAAAAAAGTGAAGTAGTTGTCCTTTTTGCCACCTGTGATTCCAGTCACGAATTTGCTGATAGAAACAACATGTGGATTAGATGGTTGGTGGTGGAGCTGTGACAGTGAGCTGTGTCTACTGCAGATTAGGCTGGTATTCCACTGGGCTCCCCAGGTTTCCCCATGGGTCGCAGGGCTGCCCAGAACTTTCCTGGCACTGTGACACGCTCTGTATGTCTCTCCTGAGCCCTCTGGCAGATTAGGGTTGTTTCTCTAGTTGTACCTGAGGCAGAAAATGCTTCTGTAACCAGAAATGAAGCCTTTCTGAACTGTTTCCTGGCATCCATAAAGGTGTGAATACTCAAAATTTGGCCCAATGATACAAGCTTAGGAATGAGCCAGCAACTTGGATTCACTTAGAATCAGTTTTATTGCCAGGTAAGAAATTCATATTAATATAGTGAATACATATGTTTACAAATAAACATTCTTAAAAAACAAACAAACATTTTATTGTAGGAAGTATTATTGGTATCATAAACTCTGTAGTTAACAAGTATTAACACGGGTTTACTTACAGAACATACAGTTACTAAAATATTTCCACATAAAATATGCTCAAGTTACACGAAACCTGTGTGAATCAGAGTGCAGCTGTAATGTGAATCTAAAGCATATGGATTAACAGCAACATTCCATAAAGGGTCAAATTAAGTCAGCCAGTTGTGAAGGCAATAAAGATTAAAGGAATAGAAGTAAGATAGTGGAGAATCTGGGCTGTGTGCAAAGTATTTGTCTTGTGGGCTTTGTCCACTTCTGATAGTCTTAAAACATAGGATCATAAAATTTAGCAGCACACTCATGGAGAGCTACCGGTGCTCTCAGGATGCAAATCAATCTTGATATAGCTAAAAAAAGGTATCTCCATTTAACCAGATTTCAAAATTCTTAGCCCTTGCATCCTTGACTAAGAAGAAGCACTGACAGTCAGTTGAATACAGTAAGAAATGTCGTTTCCAATTCTTCTTACAGCATAACAGTTCTTACTCCTCCCTGCATGCTCTTCCAAAACTAATCTCCTGAAGAACTGACAGCTGGTGAGAATGCAACCGTAGTAAAACAGCTAGTTAGGATTTAGCCAAGTAACTGATTTTAGGGGAAGGGCAGGAATTTAGGTGAAAGGCTGGATGTTTGCCTGCCATCCCATCCCAACTCTCTTTATCTCTTTGTGGATGTGCCAAAGCTTTAACAGGCCCAGGACTGTGAGTTTACTACCAGTGCCCAATTCAGGAGTGGTTTTACTCATATGAACAAGGCATCCTGCTCGTCAGAACCACAGTCAAGACCGTGAGTCCAATTGTTTGTTTAGTTTAAACCCAGATCTCTTTGACATTTGAGGCAAAACCATCAGACTCTTCCACCAAACAGTCCACCGAGAGGGAATGCCACTATAGAAAGCCAAACGATAGAGACAATATACCATAGAACATTTAGTTGAACTACAAACAACTACCATGGCTAAAAGCAAATACAAAATGAGAGACTGGAGGGAAAAAGTTTAAATTGGGAAAATGAAGGGGCCAACTAAATAGTCTTGACTGTGCAACCACTGCATGGAGATGTAGTCCAGTTTCCCTTCGGGACAAACAGGGGAGGCTGAGCAGGGCACAACCCTTGTCATCCTCAGCAAAACATGAGGAAAGAGCTTAAAGGAACAGAGGGGTCACTCTGAAGAACAAGACTGTCATTGAACAATAGTAATACAGTAAAGGCACCACCCACGCTTAATTTCAGTCTGAAGCAGTTGAAAATAGGCAAAACATTTAGGTGAAGAAAAAATCCTGACAGTCTGCAAAGTGAGACTTGTTACCATCTGCCCGAAAACAGGAGGACTGAGAGGGAATATTCTGATGCCCTTATTCCCCCAGCAGCTTTCTGTGTCATGTGATACATCTCTTCTTATTTCGGAGGTTCCCAAAAATTCCAAATCAAACGAAGTAAACTGAAATAAAATCTTCTGCTCTTTGTTATCATCCTGCAGAATTCTCTACCAACCACAAAGGTCCCATATGCTCTTAATCATAACAGTCTTCATAAATTCCTTGTGAAAGTGTCTTTGTCCCTTATTGTACATATATTTTTTGCGTTCTCTATAGGATGGTGTGAAAGTACAATAATAGATGTTAGGGATTGTACCAAGATGTTTGCTCTCGGTTTTTCACAGGTCTAGTGATTATTAATAGGTTTTATACAAAATTCCTCTCTGAAATAATATATTACAGTATATTGTTCTCTCTCTCTTCCTCTGTCTCAAGGCAGGAACATAGTGTAAATGTTTAAGCAGACATAACGTTTCTCTAGATTGTGCTACTTCTCATCATGGATTTTAGTTTCAAGTAAAAAAATTTAGTCACACGGG